TCATAGCGACCCTATGTACAAGAGCCCTAAATGCCGCTCAATCCTGTGCCAACCTAGCCATCTCAAACACACTCATTCCTACCACTCCACTCACAGAATCGATCCATCTCATCGAGGGTCTGCCTCTCCTGCTCTGTCCCTCCACTGTCCCAAACAGGATGTCCCTCTCCAAGGACCAGTCCCTCCTTGCAACATGCCCAAAGTATGTCAGACAAAGCTTCAAAATCCTTGACTCCAAGGAACATTCCTGCTTCACCCTCTTCAGGACAAATCTGTATGTTCTCCTAGCAGTCCATGGTATATTCAACATTCCTCTCCAGCACCATAGCTCAAAGGCATCAATTCTCTTTCGATCATCACTAGTCACTGTCCAACTCTCTGATAGATAGCACGTAATTGCAAAGACTATAGCCTGGATCAGGCGCACTTTAGTCTCCAGCTGACATCATTGCTCTTCAGTACTCTTGAGAGGTCCCTCACAGCTGATTTTCCCAATGCAACTAGTCTCCTGATTTCCTGACTGGTGTTATCAAGGGTGTTGACTGTGGAACCAAGTAAACGAAAACTGTTAACTATCTCAAGCTCTTCACCATCCATACTGATGCTGTCAGTAGGCCAGTGGTGAGAAGCATGTATATCAATACACTAAAAGTATTCTTTAACAAGGGAGCTCTGGTGATCTAATGCAATCCCAAAGGCATGCAGTTCAAGGCCACCAGCTGCTCTGCAGGAGAAGGATGGGCAATCTCCTCCCATGCAATTAACACATTGCAGCACATTTTTAAATTGATGACCGTGCTTAGAAACATGCGCAGAACGGCTGCCTCTGAAAACCCTCTGGAGGGTCAGCTATGGGTCGGTTTGGACTTGATGGTAAATAACAACAATCTTTAACACAATAATACATACAGTAATAACAGTGTTTAAATGTGCACTGAAATATAGCACCTGCTTATTATTATAAATCATTGTATATACTTGGATTTTTTTTTAAAAAAAATCACAGACTTAAGAGTTTTTAAGGGAGAAAGATGGGCCATCTCTTCCTGTTAAGATTTACAGCATCAGGATACCCAGAGAAGAACTCATAGCCCACTGCTGGGGGTAAATATATACGTAGGATTTCTTTTTAAATTTCAGATTTGGAAAACAGTTTTACAAATTCTCATTACACCTCCAATTGTGAGGTACTCTCACCCTTACATTGAGCAAAACTTTCCAGCATTCTCTGAGACAAGAACGGATAGATTTAAGGGATTTTTGTCTGTCTCAGAGATCACAAAACCATTGCTTGCTTGCTGGGGTCTGGGAGCTATTACAGATGAATGCAAAGGTCTAGTAAGATGGACAGAAGTGACTCCAGGAGTAAGATGACCTAAACAATCTTAGTCTATCTATCCTTCTGCTATCAAAAGAAATTAAATGTAAACATGTAAACGTTGCACTGTCCAAATGGAATGTTTCAATTGCACCTGAGGGCTTGCAATCATCCCTAGTGTAGATGATTTCTTGATATTTAGAGCAGTTAAGTGATTTACCCCAAACTTATAATGAGATACTACATTAAAAGACAGTTAACTGGCTTACCTGGTAACATAGCCTAATCCAAATGCTGAGGGCACTAAATCTGTTTTCCATTCAAGCGGTTCTATAAAAACAAATCTTGCTGCTTGGGGATGCTTAGAGAGAACACTCTCCACAAACACAACAATTTCTTTTACTATTGCTTCATTTAGCGGGGTACTTTCCAGGGTTGTAGTTCCATGTCCCACAGCTGTCCACTGGGCCGCCCTTGCCAGTGCCAAGCCCATGGTATCCAGGAACGCTCAAATCTCAGCACACGTGCAACCTAAGAGGAGAAAGTTAGAGACCACAGCGCTCAGCTTTTCGTAAGAATATTCTTTATTCGTAAGGTTCTACACTAGTACTAACCCAAACCCACATCCGATATATTGATTTGAGAGATTTAGGTTTTCGTTACCTACAGCTCGGGTGGTGTAGCATAAGGGAGCTATGCTGTTAAAGGCTGCACCTATTTGGTGGTTTAAATACACCAGTGGCTCCACTGGAGAAGGGCGGGCATTTCCTCCCACATGATTTGCACCCTAGGGAACTCAATGGAAGCCCAGCTATGAGCCAGGTTCACATTCAAGGACAATGAGTGAATGAGAATTGCTCTTCTGAAGGTTCCTGGTTGGCACAACAATTAAGTACTCAATTACTAACCAAAAGGTTGATGATTTGAATTCACTCAGCAGTCCCACAAAAGAAAGGCCTGGTGATCTGCCTCCACAAAGATTACACCCAAAAACCCTATTCTGGAGCACATGAGGCTGCCATGAGTTAGAATCCACTCAACAGCAACAAGTTTATTTGGTTGCTTGTTTTTCCATTGCTTTTCTATTTAATAGAACAGATAGCTTTCCCTGAACCCCAACCCGCACCTGGTTGTTGTATAATGTCGACCCACAGTTGACTCTCCAGGGGGTTTTCAGAGGCAAGGGATATTACCCATCCTTCTTCCACAGAGCAGTTGGTGGATTAGAACCTTGTGCCTCCGTGACTGCAGTGCAACTTCCTGCCATTAGGTCACCAGAGCTCCCTAACCCCATCATGTTGATACATATCTTGTATCAGCTTATACTTAGAGCTGCATTGTCCACATTAATTCTTTGTAAGTCTTCAAGCATCTGCCTGCTTCATTAGAACTCCAGTGTAATGAGGCTCAACCACTTACTAACTGATATTTTATTACAGCTGAAACTCAGAAGTCAAACTCATTGTCACTGAGTCAGACTCAATTCAGAGCTGACCCTCCAGCAAGTTTCCAGAGGCTGTAAATCAACCTAGAGGAGAATTCCTACCTTTCTTCCATGGAGCCACTAATGAATTGAGTGGTTCTACCTTTGTGTTAGCAATATGACTCCCTCTGACTCCACAACCATTGCTTCCTTTATTACAATCATGTCCCTTTAATTTTACTTAACAGCTACAGCACTGCAAGAATCTTTATGGTCACAATAATTATAGTTGTTATTATTAGCTATTATTTCTATTTTAGGACAGTAAAGTAGGCATTACAAAATATTAGCTATAAAACTGAGCATTGGATCAGATTAGATTAAGAACTACTGAACTAGATAAATGCCATTTTTGTGTACTGTCCAGTTGGAACTGACCCATAGTTGACCCTCTGTTTTTCAGAGGCAGATGGGAGGAGTCTGCCCATCTTTCTTCTCAGGAACAGCTAGTGTATACAAACTATGTACCTTTGGGATTGCAGCTCAGCTTCTTTACCCAGGGTTCCCTAGTGAATGAAAATGTATAAAACGAAGGTACAGATTTGGCTGCCTATTTGTAGCATTTGATTTTGTATTCTTATGTGTTGTTTCTATGGAAGGTTGATAAAAAAGAAAAAGACTTTGAACATATAAGCATGTATTGATGTACATGTGAAAACCCTTTCTGTTTAGGTGTGTCAGTGTGAAAAGCCTTAGCTTACACAGTGTGGCTTCAGTGGACAGATCTGCTTGCTTTTCATCTCAATTGTAACACTTGTTTTGGTGATCTTCTAAAAACCAGTGAGTGCCGTAGAACAGAGAATGACTGTCCTATGGCATTTATAAGGCTATCAATCTTTATGGGGAGCACACTGCCTCATCTTTTTCAAGAGGACATGTTGCTGGGTTTCTAATGCTAACGCTAAGTTAGCAACTCAGCACTTCATCCACTACTCCACGGAGGCAAGAGTATATTAAGCATTTCCTTCTTGTATCTTTTTTAAAAAAAATGTGAAAAGGCATACATTACATAGCACAGTGGCAGTTGACACACCATACAGTACATCTTTGTTTCAATAACCCTTGAAACAAAGCTAAAATGTATAAAATATTGTTTTCTTAGTTGCAGTACATTTTTCTAGACCTCAAATATAAATCACATCTGAGTTTGTTAAAATTCTGAGTCTTGTCAACCAAGAATGGCATGCTTTAAAAGAACTGCAGTCGATGACATGATAGTATACTTAGAAAACCCTAAAGACTCAGCAAGAAAACTATTGGACATAGTTGACCAATTCAGCAAAGTAGCAGGATACAAGA